AACAGATATCTCCTCATGGCTCCAGAAGTACTGCACTTTAACTGGGTTCTTTGAAGAGGCTTTTGAAGAGCCTAACATCACAGCAATTCAGACGCTGATTGCAGGCCCCTCTTTCTGCTCATTCATGATTCTCATGCAAATATTTCAGATGCAGCGAAAATGCACACCTGAACTTACATATACATTTAAAAAATCCCTCCACGCTCAACAACAAAGTTCACAACTCAATAAATTTGACTGAAGCTAAGAGAAACCAGTAAGATACTGTCTGCAGGATTTGTCATGTATGAGTTACTCACATGAGCCACTGAATCAAAACTGCGGATTTACAAAATCCACATTACTGGAGTTGTATTCCTTTACTGAACAGAATTACAAATAGTACTGGAGTTAATTGTGCTACTATATTCACGTACAATCACACTGAACAATAGGATTTCATTAGTTAATGAATAAATTTACATTCATTACAGTATCTGTAAACATTAGCTAATATTGCTGATCATTGTTACTTTACCTCAGTTCTATTATAAAGACAAATGCAACTTTTAAATTTACTAATGTATTTAAAAATGCTTCAAATGTAGTTTTCATTGTAAGTTATTAATGAATTAACACATGTATAAACAAATGGAAACTTATGGAGCACACAACTTAGCAGCAACCAGCTTGCGAAAAATACACATGGCCCCGTTTACACTAATACATACTAGTTTTAAAATGGCATTTTAGAATGAAAACAATCCACGTACACAATGGCGTTTCATCCAACATTTCTGAAAAGATCTCTCTGTCCACACCACTGAAAACGCACATCACATGAACACACACACACACAAACAAACTCAGTCATGCGCTGCAGCGTCTTAACCCAGTGAGCAGTGCACATCGAACTGTTTATCAAGGATGTACCACTGGATCACGTCTCACTATAGTTGTTAAACGTGAAAATTAGACTTCTCTCTGTCTCACCACTTTTCGGTCTTTTGAATCTATCAGGTAACGTGTCACAGCACCAGTACACTGCTTCAATCTTTCACTTTCACGCTTATACTTAGTCATTTTAGTGAAAACTGCAGATACTGTTGGTTGTGCACCTTTTTTACCAACCAAGTTTGTCAACACCACTATACCGACACAGATCACTCTGCTTATTCATACCAGAGTCACGCGGAAAAAGTGACTGACAGGTGGTAATTTGTGTGTAACTTATCTTTATTTATTTAAGATTTGGGATTGTTAAAACAAAGACCATGCGGGTCAGGTAGTTAAAAAGGTAGGCTACAAATAATTAATTCGTTATGGATTAAATAATTGTTCATAAAAGCTCAAAATGATGCCATCACATAGACTTTAAGTCTATAATTTTATTGTATTTTAACAGCTGTGTTCAAAACCATTGTTTGAGCAAAAAACTACATTACCCATGTTGCTGTACTGAACATTCCATTAATCAGAGAGGCACAGCAAGCAAAGTGTATTATTAAGTGATTTCTAGCTCCACCCACATATAAAACACAGAAATAGAAGTTATAATATAGATATAGGGCTGGAATGATAAACGATATTATATCGAATAGCGATAAAATTTATGTCAATAACAATGATAAGCTCTGGATTTTTTAAGAGCCGATAATGGCCCTTTTCCACTGAGTGGTACAATACGGTACAGTTTAATACACTTTAATGGCCGTTTCCACTGTCAAAAGGCATATCGAATCGAACCAGAATGAAAACAAAGGAACCGCCATGTTTTAAATACACAGCTGAGAGATTACAGCGTAATATATACATATAATAACAAGCCATGGTCGACCCGAGCTCAAACAAACCTTGTCATCATCTTGATGAACAGCCACAATGCCAATAAGAAGAGCAGATTTACAGTGGACTATTTGAAACTGTAATTGATCTGCATTTATAATCAAATCATGTTGATAGAAAAGTTAGTAATAAACATATATACAGAAGTATTTATGTGTATAAAGCGTCTGTTTTGTGAGAAGTGCTTCTCATATGATATGTGAACGACCTGTACAGCTTTACTGTAGACATTTTCTTGAGCAAAAATGACGTCGACTGAAACTTTCTGTCATACACCACGCCCACCAAAAGGGTACCCTTGGTAGTGGAAACGCAAGCCTGATAAAGGTGACCCGTACCGACCCGAACTGTACCGTACTGTACCAGTCAGTGGAAACAAGCCATTTACACCACAAAAATGTGCAACAATGGAAATCTAAAAGTGTACTGATATTAGAGATGTATTGAATTTTCAGCAATGCTGGGCCAATAAACTATATTCTATCCAATTGCGATAACATTTATGTCAATAACAATGATAAACTCTGGACTTTTTTACCCTATATTGATCTAAGAGCCAATCACACAGCAGAAATGTGCAACAATGGGAATCTAAAAGTGTGTTGCTATTAGAAATGTACTGAATTTTTGATAGGACTGGGCAAATAAACAATATTATACTGAATCATGATAACATTTATGTCAATAACCATGATAAACTCTGGACCTTTTTAATCTATATTGATCTAGGAGCCAATCACACTGCAAAAATGTTAAACAATGTAAATCTAAAAGTGTGTTGAGATGTACCAACTTTTTGGACACTAAAAATGTATCGGCCAAAAATATATTATGCCATTGAATGGACCCTTTCATTTTTGTGGCTTCATTAATTGTTGGGGTACTCTTTTAAATCTGGAAGCCTTAACAGCTTATATCGAAATATAAGATAAATATAAAATAATTTTTGAGATTGCATTTTTGCCATATTGCCCAGCCCTAATAGGATATATATATATATATATATATATATATATATATATATATATATATATATATATATATATATATATATATATATATATATATATATATATATATATATATACACACACTTCAAAGAATACCATGTTTGTGCAAAGTGTACATTGGGTACTACAGATGGCAATTTAATGTCATCTAGCACTAACTCTCCCAGGACTGCTTACGCCACCATGCATTCAGAATGTCTGTATTTACGACAGGATAAGGTAAGCATAAAATTCTACACAAAGACACAAGAGCAGTAATGTTAATGTAGGCCTAATATTTTCTGCACTCCTGTCAAGCTCAAGTTGCCTAATATAATTTGAACCTGTGCAAACTTGAACTAAAGCACTATAATAACACATTAATAACACGTTAGAATAACACTATAGTAACACATTATTCATTTACATTACCCTAGTATTCTCAGATTATTATCATTATGTAAAGTCTTATCTACTGTACCTAAAATCTTGAACCCTGTCCTGTCCACTGTTATTAGTATTCAAAGCGTGCACATTTTCTCACACCATCATGTAAAAAAGCTTATGTGATGTGTATACAACAATATTATCAATTTATTTATTGTGTTAATCTAAAACCATAGATAAATACATACATAGATACCATGTGTATATATTATACATATAGTATAGACATACGATTTTAGCTTTGGGTCACATGAATTGTGTAACGTGTAGGTGTACAGGCTCCTCAGCTCTGTAGCGCAAGTCTACTACTAGTTATAGCATTGCTTTCTCTTTATTAGTTAGTTACAGCATGCAGGGTTAATCGTCCCATCACTGATTCAAAAAGAAATATATCAATACATCAGCTTATAAACAGGATGTTGTGTAGAATTAAGTTTACTTTAGACATGTATTTGAGTCTTCATATATATAATAGTACAATTTAACTAATTCAACAGTCTTTCTCAAATATGTTCCACTATAGCCAAAATTATTCATATTCCATTTAAGCTGTTAGCGATATCTTTATTTCAGGTATATATATTTACAATAAATCCAACAAAAACAAGATATGCAATCCACAATGTCAATTACATGTGACCATGGTTCACCAAACCAGTCTTCAAAAATTTCCAAATATCATAGATAAATTAATACATAGATATTACTATATTAAACATATCATTTAGACACACGATTTTACCTTTGGGTAACATTTTAAAGCGTGTTTTGAGCTCAATTGAGACCAAAATACAACGTTGTGGAGACGTGCTGGGTCAAGGTAGGCAGTCGTGGTAGTTACCGGAGGGAGATACAACCTCTCAGGTTAGGAAACCCGGCACAAGTGCTATGCCCCCTTTATGAGATATTGAAGCTACAGTCTCATATTCCTGCCAAATACAAACACGTCTCCTCACTCGGAAGGTCCCCGTCTCTAACAGATGAATGTAAAGCAATTTTTGGCACTGAGCCCGTGTGGCGTCTGCGTGCCGCACGCCGAAAAAATGTGTCAGTGTGCACAAAGGAATCTAATGGAAACTTCACGGAATGTGCATTGATGCAACGGCGCACCAGACATAGCAAATGTTACGCGCAACTAAAATGTCACGCTAAAACATGTGTTTGTTTCAGGATTAGCATTGATGTTTCGTATTTACAATGTCATTTCTACAATCTACGTTATCAACGCGTGCGATGTAACCATTAAAACACATTGTGTTAAATTGTAACATTGGCTAGTATGCACCTAGACAGCCAGTGTTGTCTTCTGCATGCTCATTTCATTTGGCATCGCATACGTGTGCAAAAAATGTTCGAGCATCATCATCATCATCATCGTTTGTCCAGAGAGTCGGTGACCAGTGAACTCTGCGATTCCATTAGCAACAACTGTAAGTTCCTAGTGATCAATACCGAGCAGGGACGCCGGGTCAACATTCTCAACATTCCTCCATATCACTGTGCATATGCAGAAATGACACCCGAGACTCTGCACTTTACAACGTGCCACATTTGCCCAGATGACAAAATGTCGTCGCATGCATTATGATTTATTGCATTTCAACATGCATTGGTAGTTTGAGCCTCGCCGGCATTTTATACTTTTTAAAGGTGTTTGCATATTTGTGAATAAGAGCGAGCGCTGTTTGTTGCATGGCATGCATTAGTCAAAGCATCAAAATAGAAATATTTTTTACTTACGATTTCAGAGGATTTTGGACCACTGTGGCCATTTTGATATAGAATGATACAATGTAAGACTGCAGATCCCCGGTATTGTACATGTAATATAGCAGCAATTTCAATTTCATTCATTCTCTGGGGCTGCGGCTGGATCGGTCAGCCAATGGGAGCGCGGCTGCCTGATGGTCAGTGCGGGGAAATGTAGTTTTTATTCCCTGAAGCCGTCGGGACTCGGCGGCGCGCGTGCTACAAATACCACAATGCACCGCGGTTAACTGTATTCTAGTCCCGCCTTGATTTTGTGTGGGTAAGCCAAAACATCTACTGTAAATTCAAGGTTGGATTGCTGGACTGTCTGTCAGTATTTTTTGTTGCCTCATGTTGGTAGCTTCTTTGATTCGCAGAGGAATAGTTTCAGAGTGATTGCAGCAAAATCAAGCCGTTCGTTCTTGTATTGTATATTTCATCTTTGAGATTAGCAGATTTGGGTAGTCACTGGTCATTATTATTTTATTACACAGCATTTTTCTGCATGTGTGCTGTGTTTAGTCATATGCATGTATATTTGAATACACATTTTTTCCATTGACTTCTGATGGGTTTTGTGCCTGGGCTAAATAGTATAGTATATTATAAATATACTATAAACAATATATTTATATCTGAACCCTGATCAATCTTTTCTGCATCATTTATAACAATTATTTCACCAATTTATGTATTGTTTTTATGGTAAAGCAGTTTTTCTCATATATACATATGGTTGTTACCATATGAATAATTAATCCTACAATACTATACCAGCTGAAGAATCACGATACCAAGTAGTATTGTGATACTGTAATTTATATGTCAAATTGTCAAAAATAAAAGAAAATTGTCAAAAATACTATATGTTATTATAGGCCTACTTGAATTAAATTCATAATTACTTTAAAGCCAAAAAGTATTATTTGCACCTCACTAAGATATATTCATTCTTTTGGTTTATTTTGTAGATAAACTGACCAACAAGAATACATTAAAATAAAGATACAAATGATACCAAATGAAATTTGTTACAAAAGTGCATTTTTTCCAACTAAATTAGGCTATATGAAGTGGTCCAAAATTCTTTACTATTTGCTATTTTGGGTTTCAGGTAACAATCCAAAGTAATTCAAAACGTCACTTTGTGAGATGTGTTTTTAAAGAGATTGTCGCAGTTGTTGTAGCTACTAAATTATATTAACAGGAACAGAAATGACTCGATGTGCGTTTGAGCTGAAGCGTGAGAAAACGTGCAATAGGCTACCATATAAGGCGCAAATTCTACTGTTTTGCAACCTTAAAGGGCTCCACAGACTATTAAAATAAAATGGTCTATTGTTCCACAAGCGTGTGAGCATTTTAGTGTCTCTACGACATGCAACATTATCTATTGTAGCTAAACCATTAATGACGATACTACCGTTGACAAACTACAGTGGCACCATTTTGAAGCCACAGTATCACGATACTACCATAGTACCAATAAACCGTGCAACCCTAATATATATATAAATATATATTAATAATTTTTTTTTTATATTTATTGAGGTTAAGTAGGTTTTTTATTCTCACATTCATTCAATATTGTTTACAACGCTAATTTGAATACTGGGTCTGAAATAGCATATGACTTCAAAACAACATCAGCACTATTTACTTGACTGTGAACAATGCTGTACTTTGATAGTCATTGGCTGCTAAAATGATTTCGCCACTTAGAATTTGCAAATAATACTTTTCTGAAATTATATTATTAAGCAAAAAGTCAGAATGTGCGAGTATAAATCCAGCTTTACCCCAGTATATATGTATTTTGAGGCTGCTCGATATTGGAAAAATCTAACATTGCGATATTTTATATGAATACAATTTCAGCAGATGACTTAAATAGCTCTATTTGGAATGAAATCATTAACTTTGAGTGGAATAATCTTGCAGAGGAGAGAATCAAAGATATTGCAAGAATAAATAAATAAGATAGAGCAAAGATAAAAGTGAAATAAGTAGTCAGATATCCAGGTATTACGATATGATACAACATTATCATGATGTTTTTCCCGATTGTGATAGATCACGATATCATCAATATATCACAAGAAAACCATCCACAATATATCATGACATTAGTAAATGAAGTGGGAAAATGCATCAAAAAAGTTATTAGATGTATTTCTTTTATTAACATCACACACAGTTGAAGCCAGAATTATTAGGCCCCGTTTAAATTGTTTTTTATTTTTTCGTTTTTTAATATTTCACAAATGATGTTTAACAGAGCAAGAAAATTTTCATAGTATGTCTGATAATATTTTTTCTTCTGAAGAAAATCTTATTTGTTTTATTTCGGCTAGAATAAAAGCAGTTTTTAATTTTTTTAATTTTTCAATTTTAAGGACTAAATTATTAGCTCGTTTAGGCTATATATTTTTTTGATAGTCTACAGAACAAACCATCATTACACAATAACTTGCCTAATTTCCCTAACTTGCCTTAAACTAATGAACCAAGTTAAGTCTTTAAATGTCACTGTAAGCTGTATAGAAGTGTCTTGAAAATATCAAGTCAAATATTATTTTCTGTCATCATTGTAAAGATAAAATAAATCAGTTATTGGAAATAAGTTATTAAAACTATTATGTTTAAAAATGTGTTGAAAAAATCTGCTCTCCGTTAAACAGAAATTGGGAAAAAATAAACGGGGGCGCTAATAATTCAAGCGGGCTAATATTTCTGAATTCAACTGTATATATGTAATGCAATGTAGTGCAAGTTAAAAATACAAATAATACACTTGAAATAAATGTGTAAAAAAGGAAAATTCCTTCACATTATCATAGTCAGTCCTTTAAGCCCTATTCTAACTGATAATTTCATAAAAGTCCAACATTCTGAATCTGCTTGTACATAGAGAAATACATTTTAACAGTGTGAAATACTTGTGGACAGTAATATTGAAGTTATTCTTCAATGTGAATTTTTCAATCGTGTACATTTAAATATTGTGACAAGAGGCCATTCTAACCTCTAAAAGAAATGGAAATGACTATAAAGGGCTCTTCAGTCCAGTTAAACTGCAATGGCGCCACTTTGAAGGCATTCTGTGACATGTGATATTTATAGATCCCTGCTAACAAATATTTAATGAACCTTAGCAAGCTCTATGGAAAGACTGAACACAAAAATGTCCTGTTGATTCATGAGGGATTTTCTGCAGAATACAAAATTTGCACTTTTTAAAGGGGATTTTAGATTTTAAATAATGCAATGCAAGAAATCATAAAACTAAAGCATCAGCAATATCCTCTCTTCTCCGATTGACATTGTAAAAAATACAAATTTTGTACAACATTATAAAAAAAAATATTTTCTATACAATAGGATTATTTGACAGGTTATTTTATTCAGACATGCCTTATTTTCCCTCTTAATACAGAAAAAAACTTGTGCACACACAAAGAAAATAGCCTCTAGAGGGCGTCACTATGCGTTCATTAATATACGATGAAGGCCCCTGGTAGAGCAGCAACGGCGCCCTCTAGAGTTCAGCTGGAAAATCACCTACCGCCAGCACTACTGTAGCAGCAGCAGTAAGTCCTGGGACAGTAGTCCAACTAGCTTAGACGGAGTTGTGATGGTTTTAAATCTTTGGCCATGTCTGAAATGCTGTTGAAAGACATGGATGAGATTTCTCTCGGGCCTGTTAAAATGGACGAGCAGAAGGAAAATGGACGGAGTTTTCTCCTGGTGGACGAAAACGAAAGCTTGCAGGTTTGTTTTTGTTAGCTTCCGAGTTAGCCATTAAGCTACTTGGTAAACAGCACATGTCTTGGCTTTGTTGTTGTTATACACTTTGATTGGGTGTTTGTCAATTCACAAAAAGGCCCATTGCGTATTATAAAAGGTGTAATGTAAAGAATACTCGGATGAGTAACGTTGAACTGTCAACATTATTGAAACACAGGAGAGAGCTGTCTTGACAACATTGTCAATGACATCTTTCTTCATCGATCATAATCAATAGTGCTTTTATTTTTAACTTTACAAAGTTGGTATTGCCATTAGTGTGTGGATATATCGTGTTATATTACATATTTTTTGCACACGTCATGATGATATAAAGTACAGCTAATTAAGTAAAATAACAAGATATGGTGTAGTAATTCTCTGTTATATAGTCTTAATAATGAGTTAACAGTGAGAAGAGTGTAATTTCTTTCTGATAGTTTACAGCTGTTTTTGACCAGAAACCAGTTTTAAAATGATTATTTACTGACACTGAGAGATTGTTACTGTCTGTATTTATATTTATGAAGAGATATAAAAATAATGCTTCATTATGTACTCACTCACTCTTCATTATTTTGTTGTTTCAAACCCGTATGTCTTTCATTCTTTCCTCAGTGGAACACAAAAGCCAGGATGACTCATTCATCAGTCATGAATGATGACATAATTGAATTTATGGGTGAACTGTCCCTTTAAGTTTTTTTTTTTTTTTTCAAATGAAGAAAGGCTGAATCCCTACAGATAGAAAACTTGCTAACTCATCCTGTTACAAAATACATTGACCCGAGAATTCCCACAGGGCAGATATTTTGATTATTAAGATGCATACATTTAGTATTTTAGATGTATCCAAATACTTCATTTGGAAGTGTTACAAATCAGTCAGCTGAACCACTATGGAGATAATAATATGCCAAAAAATCTAAATTTGAATAGTGTTCATTTGAATTATTGACGATTGTAATTTAATAAATCTGAATTTTTATATGCTGTTAAAAATGCTCAAAAACAGCCTCATGATCACGTCTGCAACTAGTAGTCTACACGTCAGTCTGTTTATAAACAAACTGCATAAAGTGAAACTCTCTCTTTATGTATTTTTTGTGAACTATTTAATATATCTGCATAGTTGTCCAAATGAATGTCCTGTGAGTGATTTATAATGGATGCACACCAATACAGGAGGATCTAGCGAGGCGTGTTTCTGCCATAGACCATAAAGTAAACTGGCATATGAGCTTCAGACGTGCTGGCACAGCTGTTCACTGTTCCTGTCAGCGATCTCCCAACAATAACCAGCTGCAAATCCATCAGATCCAACAGACTTAGGGTGTTTTACTGTATTTTACATTTGTCTGTATATTTTTAAATAATAGATATTAATATTCAGTCAGTCCAGTATAAAGCAGAAGCAATCTACCCGTTTACCTATGGTTCTCTTTGAGTTGGTGTGTTTAAAAAAAAAAAAAATAAAAAAAAAAAATTATATATATATATATATATATATATATATATATATATATATATATATATATATATATATATATATTATATATATATATATATAGATATATATATATATATATATATTTATATATATATATTTATATTATATGTACACACACACATACATACTAAGGTTGGCCGATGTCGACCAATTTGGCATCGTACGATATCTAATGTGAAACATTGCAATAGACGATGGCATCGTCGTCATAGGCGGAGGTGAATTAATCATTTATGAATAATTAATTAATTTATAACGAATAAGTTATTTGTAGCCTACCGTTTCAACTACCTGACCCGCATGGTCTTTGTTTTACCCTTAAACAAATCATAAATAAATAAATAAAGATAAGTTGCACACAAAATACTTGTCAGTTACTTTTTTCGCGGGAGGTTGGCTGGCAAAAAAAGGTGCACAACCAACAGTATCTAAGGTTTTACTAAAATTACTAAGTAGTGTGAAAGTGAAAGACTAAAGCAGTGTACTGATGCTGTGACATGTTACCTGATAGATTCAAACGACAGAAGAGTTGTGAGACAAGATTTATTAAATATCACGTTTAACAACTAAAGTGAGACGCGATCCAGTGGTATATCCTTGATAAACTGTCCGATGTGCACTGCTATCTGGAGCTCCTCAGACGAGCCCATGACAGTCTGTGTGCGTTGGGGGGCTTTGTCTGTGTCATTGGTCTATGTGTGTGCTTTTTCAGCAGACGGAGGGCTGTTCAGAAATGCTAGGTTAAACGGTGTGGATGTGGATAATTTTTGCTCTAAAATGCCATGTTAATACTAAGATGTATTAGTGTAAATGGGGGCCGAAGGCCGCGCACACCGGGACGATTTTTGCGCGCGTTTTCTGTTGACGTTTAACGCCTCATGAGTCGTGACTAAATAAAGGGCGCCAATGTGATCATGCACACCAACACGCAAAACACCAGACGTAAAAGTGTCAATTAAAATAAAAAAAACGCCTCATGCTCTTTTTTTTTTTTTTTGACGCGCCACTTCAAAACCTTCTCCACCAACCAGGTTTGCACTTTTGTTCACGTGCACAGAGCTGCTGAAATTACAGTAATCAGCACTTGGAGCGCAAAACTGTCAATGCGAGCACACATTAAAGAAGATGTTATGAATATGGAGCTGCTTATTGTTCTGGTGAACAATAATCAATTTTTCATAGCTAGAGCTGGAGCTGCTACTTAAACCATCCATAACAACAAGGTGTCATCTTTATCTTTTTCTATGTAACAAGCGGGTCAGATGCTTAAAGTTGTGTAGCGCCATCTAACATCAAGGAGTGATTTTGCATACTCTTCTGCTCGACGCCAGTCAAAATCGCTTGGGTTTGAATCTGGAAAAACGTCATGAAAAACCCTGATGATAAGCGCAAATGAAAAGCGTGCCGGTGTACGAGCCTTAAGTGTGTATTTTTCGCAAGCAGGTTTGCGTTCGCCGATGCTGGATCAGCATCGTGTTGTCTATTGGCCATCGGCGATGGACAATGGCATCGTCTATCGGCCCATACCTATCTCATACAAACATTTTAGAATAAATGTCAGACAGGTGGGCCTTCAAAAACTCGTTTGTGCCCTGAAGTAGAAAAGGTTGAGAACCTCTGATCTAAACTACTCTTCCCTGTTGATCACCCCTGACCTACTTTTTGCTAAATCTGAATTTCATGATCTGAATTTCTGGTTTTTAATTTTAGGATATTGAATTTCATGTTCTGAATTTCATCTTGAAAACTTGAAACAGTATTTTTGCAAACTGGATATTTGCAGTCTAGGAATTCAGAACACACACACAAAAAAATGAAGTTTGAAAATATAAAAATTCAGTTTTCTTACATTTCAAATGTTCACTATTCAAGTTCTGAAATTCAAATTCAAATAAAGAAATTCAAATTCAATAATTTTTTAATGGCATAAAATACAGATTTGTTAAATTACAATTGTCAATAATTCAAATTAATTTGACATATTATTAGCTCCATAAACCACTATTTTGCACAGTATGGATATGTAGGTATGTAGACATTTTTGTGATCTTCTGTAACTGTTTAACACTGATCACAAATATTCAGATTATATATCTTATTATTTTTTGGATACTTTGTGTAAGAGTACGTCATATATTGTTGTTCCATTTTTATATACTTAGAAAGCTTTGGTAATAATTTTGTTATACCAGTAAACTGTTGAACATAAGTATAGTAATAGATGGAGATAATAGAAAGTGGCAGAGAACACAGACCAACAATGATATCGAGTAACAAATAGAGACATTGATAAATAGAAGGAGGTGTTTTGGTGGGAGGGTAGATATGTAAATAAATGGATAGATAGAAATACAGACAAAATTGACAAATGTTTTGACACGTTAACATTTTCATGCACATGGTCTTTAATCACATCTTAATCGGTTGGGTTTAATATTGAATTGGGCCACTCTTCGCACTGATGCTGGATGACAATGCTTGGCACACAGTCTCCTCTCTAAATCTTCTCAGAGGGTTTTATCAGGTTGAGGTCAGGACTCTGTGCAGGCCAGTCAAGTGTTTCCACACCAAACTCGCTTGTTCATATATATATATGGACCTTGTTTTGTGCACTGGTGCTCAGTTAAGGAACAGAAAGGTGCAATAACAAAACTGTTCTCACTAAGTTGGTAGTCTGAAATTGTCTGCAATGTTTTGGTATGCTGAAGCATTAAGAGTTACTTTAACTAGAATTAAGGGCCAAACCCAAACCATAATTCCCCTCCACCAAAGTTTACCTTTGGCTCAATGCAGTCAGGCAAGTACTGTTCTTCTGGCAACCTCCAAAAGTAGACTCATCCATCTGATTGTCGGAAAGAGTAGCTTGATTGGTCACTCCAGAGAACATGTCTTTACTGCTCTAGGGTCAGTATTGATGTCCTTTAGCCCACAGCATCTCACACTTATAACCTTGAATGTGCAAGGCTCGAATTTGCAGACATTTTGGTCACCTATGCACCTGAAATGTAATCTATGCGGCCTCAAAATATGCTTGGGAGCATTCATGAGAGTGCATATAATTGTTATAGTGCAGCCTGCTTTCATTCCTCTAAAATGTTTTCCGCTGTGTGCTAATGCCAGGGTGATGAAACTTGTCTTAGGTTGATATTAGCTGTCAATCACTCAGTCACTGCTTTCTGATGTCAGATGACTGGTAGACTGTGCAAAGGATTTAAGAAGAGGGAATGAAAAGAACAGGTTTGTAAACCACCTAAAGTTACAAATGGTACAGGTGGTGCTAATCATGTGGTGAATGTTGATCCACCAGCCAAAAGAGCACAGAGTTTTCAGAGAGTGCTTGAAAGATTTGGAGTGGTTGTGCTAAAAATGGTTCTGCATTCACTGTGCGTTCAGTGCAAATGGCAGCTAAATGCAGTTTAATGCTGCATACATCATCACTAAGGAAGCTTGCCTTTATTACTGTTTTAACTCACACTGCAGTTCATGAAAAAGAAGAGCAGTGCACAGACTTATGGTGTCTATTGGGAGAAGCAGGAGAATCTACGGTAAGCAGAGCATGCACACGCTCGTGTTCTATTTATTAAACGCAAGCGTGTGTGTGCAGGTTGTTGCGATGAACACAAACCTAAACTTATAAAATGGTGGAATTGTTTTCTTTTGTTTCATTTTCTTTTCTTTCATTCTTGAGATGCAAACTATTTTTCCATTTAGTGAATGATGACTCAGTGCTTCCCACAGAATTAAAATAGACTTGCTGTGGTAGCTGGATTGACACACACCATTTACCCACATGACATAAAAAGTTGACTATTTGCGACAAACAAAACATAATTTCATTTAGCAATAATTTAACTCATTATGGCACTGTTACTGTATACACTGTTTCTTTCCAATGGGTTAAAGTAAAAAAAAAAAAAGACTTGAGATAAAAAAAGTAATCCACTATTTCTCTTACTTTTATACTATTCAGGAGCCATGTGCACCCACTCAAATCTAGTCAAATCTGCTTCTCTGTCTCTCTCTTTCAACTTCAAAGTCAACTCGAGTGCCAAAGCATTTTAGATATGTATAAAAAATGGCTTATGTAATATATTAACATCATCAAATTAATAAAATAATCAGCAAATGTGAAATAAATGACAGAAAAAGGAATAAAAACAGACAATGTACCTAAAAAACATTTTAATTACAAGATTAAAACGTGTAAATTATTTAACCAGTTAACCAGTACTAATGGTGTACATATATTTTGCAGCCAATTTCGTCCTCTTTGAGTATATAGTAAAGTTAAAAAAAAAAAATAAATTATTTGATGTTGCTCTCACAACTGTGTGTGTGCAGTCAGCTGTGAAGCCAAGCGAAAATAGGCTTAAGTAAAAAGGTAATGCAAAAATGCATACAAGCATTAGAAAGCAAAAGTTGAATCCCTGATTTCCTGGACATTTTAGGAGGTTTAGAAATTCAGGCCTGACTCATTTTTTAGGTCCCAAAAAGGCGCATCTCTGTGGGTCTGCAGTGCATGTGAGACTGTCTGTCTGTGGGAGTGTTGACAGGTCTCGCACACACAGAACGAAACAGGTAAACAAGAGAAGATTTTCCACTAAATCGATCGCGGATGATTGGTTATATTGGGCAGATACAAAAAAATAAATAAAAATTTATGTTAATAATAGTTAAAAAATAAATTAAAAAGTGTCACCAAATAAACTTGGGTGGCTGTTAATATACATGGGTGGCCTGGGCCTGCCCAAGTAAAGTTTATGTGTGGAAAGCACTGAAGAAAAAAGCCATTTTCAGTTTTGAATGAGTTTTTTTATGATATTACATTTGCATAGTTATAGTGCATAGTTAATATTTGTTAATCTTGTTGGACTTTTTGTAGCAGAAAACTTGCATATTAAATATGTGGCAGCATAGAGAAACGGATGGATGGATGGATGAGTAGATAGATAGATAGATAGAAAGATAGAAAGATAGATAGATAGATAGATAGATAGATAGATAGATAGATAGATAGATAGATAGATAGATAGATAGATAGATAGATAGATAGATAGATAGATAGATAGATAGATAGATAGATAGATAGATAGACAAAATATATGTGATGGATAGACAACATGTAGATAAATGTGCAAAGAGAGAACGATTGAAACGTAGATAGATAGAGACACAGAGAGATGATCTGATCTTGATTTCTCTCATACTCTCTCTCAGGTGAAAAATGAAGCTCATTTTCTGCAGAAGCTGGGCTGCAGTGGCGCTCAGGGAGTGAAAGTGGTTTCCATCTTTGGCAACACAGGCGATGGCAAGTCCCACACTCTCAACCACGTCCTTTTTGACCGCGAGGAGGTTTTTGCCACGTCTCCCTCTCCATCCTCCTGCACTGTGGGTGTCTGGGCTGCTTATGACCCACAGCTGAACCTGATTGTGCTGGACACTGAAGGCCTGCTCGGGGCCGCCACTCAGCAGAATCGCCGAATGCGTCTGCTGCTCAAGGTCCTGGCCGTATCAGACGTGGTCATTTACCGCACACGGGCCGAGAGGCTGCACAATGACATGTTCCAGTTCCTCGGCAGTGCATCCGCCGCTTACCTAAAGCACTTCACACCTGAGCTCCGGGCGCTGTCGAGCCGATGTGGGCTAGACGTGCCTCTCTCCAGCCTTGGACCCGCCATCATTGTTTTCCAGGAGACGTCCCGCACTCAGCTGCTGGGCCAGGGTGAGTCAGAACAAGTGCTGTTTACAAGGTCTGCAGTGTTTATCCATATGAACACAGCATTTTCTGATACATGTTGTTGCCAAAGGCTGTTGTACGATTAGCCTGGGGCGTAGAGATTGGTGCTTTAACTTGGGTCTGCACATCAACCTCATGGGGCCCAAACACATAGACAGGGGGGTCTTTGAAGAAGTCTTGATTTTTAGACTGCTGTAGAGTCCCACAGGATAAACATGAGCTGTCAGTTAAAGCAATGGCTGCATTTCAAACTCAATTGTTCACTCTTTTATTTTTGTCTGCTTAGTGATGAGAATTTTAATTTGTTTCTGTGTTTCTAATCAAAAATGTGTGGGCTAATAGATAATAATGTTTGCTCATTTTTATATACTATTTAAATTTTAAATGATTTAATATGTATGCATGATACAGATATTATGCACGCATACTAACACTTAAAAGCATAATTATTGTGTTTTCCAATAAACGTTGAAGTACATTTTAAACTGTGTTGATCTCATTGAGGAAATAGCCCTATTAAAAGTTAAAGTAGTTTGACAGGAATGTTTTTTTAAATGATTATTTTAACTATAGCTCATTTTAATGCATATAGTTCATTCATATTCACTTATGCATTATTAAATGCATATTTTTTTCTGTGATTTTACAGATTTTAAAATTATATATTATGGATGCTCCAATCAGGATATTTGCAGCCGATACCGAGCACTGATACCTTGTCATGGTGATCGGCCGATACTGAGATTTGATTCTGATGCTTCAAGCTTTATAATGCGTAAAGCACATTTTCCCCTCTAAGTATGATACTTAAGTGGACATCTCTCCTTATCTAAGAGTATAAATGAAGGATGCTGCATATAATCCCTTAAGCACGTCTCTTTTAACCATTTAGGCCGCATTTACACTGCATTGTTCAAGTGACTCAATTCCAATTTTTTTTCTCCCATGTGGCACAGATCGGATATGGGCCATGTATGTGTAAACAGGAACAAATCACATGGATTCCGATTTACTCAAATCAGATTCAGGCCTTGTTCATATGTGGAAATTTATAAATTGGATCTGTTCTCTCGTGTCTGCAGTGTAAGCTGGTAGATTGGATTTTCACCTGTCAATGCGAGTCGCGCGTCATTAAAAACCATAATCAGGGCTTAACGATAAGGACTGCCCGATGACCCGGGGCCAGTGTGAGAGATGCTTGGGACAGTAGACAGGATCATTACTGGCCCGGTTGGGGCCACCTTTTTGTTAAATAATTTCGAACTGAAATAAAATACCTATATTTTCCATACTGCTCTTTTTGTTTTGTTAACACATAATTTTGCTCATTATACATATATTGACATTTTAAAAGTTTTATTTAAATAATTTTTAACATTTAAATAATTATAGGCATTATTTTTGACACATAATTTAAAATATGTGGCTAAAAAATAGCTATTAAATTGTATTTTTTCTTTGGTGGGGCCAGTGGAAATTTTGGTCGTGCAAGTAAAAATCTAAACCATTGGCCCGATCGGACCAGTAGAAAAAATCCTTTGCTTTAAACCCTGATAATGAATGACAATGAAAAGTCTGATATTTTCCTAAACTCGTACAAGCAAACTGTACAAGGCCCAGGTAATTAATCATCAACAAGCAAAACAACTCCATTCGGACAGCGAACTACACCTGTACGACAGGGTATGTAAACTTACACATAGGGGTAAAGTTGGTTTTAGATTCGCACATTCATACTTTCTCCGTAATAATATAATTTCATAAAAGTTTTATTTGCAAACTCTAAATAGCAAAATCATATTAGCAGCCAATGACTGTCAAAGTACAACATTGTTCACAGTCAAATAAACAGTGTTAATGTTGTTTTCACCTTACACTTGGAGTTTATTTTACACCGAATATACAACGTGCCATGGTAAACAATATAGGGAGTGTGTCACAAGCTGTCACAGAATGTATGTGTGAATGTAAAACCAAGTTTACCTTAATTACTTAAACTTTCACGTTTCATTTTTAGCATTCAGTGTCTGCAGTTTAATTAACCATATGTAACTGTTTTTGCTGAAATCATTGCTGCAATCAAAAAAGAGTTATATGTTTGATTCTGAACTTACCTGATATAACACGAGAACTGAAAGTCCAGCATTTTTAATTAGGTCATCAATTCCTTCAGCTCCCTTTTAACCAAAGACGTCACTTAATAAACAGTGGCAATAAAAGTCACTTTGTTAAACCAAAGAGTTACATTTTCTGAATCAAAAGCTGAAAAAAACAAGTTTAATTAACTAAAACATTTGAAGATTTTGCATTCTATTGCATTTTGCAGTTTTATTTTCAATTGTGTAGACCACTTTTCAGCATTTTCAAATATAATGTGAACGCAGCATGAATACAAAACAATAAAGATATACAAGATGTGATGCAGCATTTTATTTCTTCTCATTGCCTGTATAAAGTTTACTATACAGTAAAATATTTGATTTGGTCACATTTTCAAAGGGCACAAAAAGTACTTTTTGTCATTTCTCTAACAGAATTGAAAACATTAAAAGCAGCATAATGGTTAATCAGCTTGTTATCTAACCCAGATTTCAGGTAAATCCCAAAGGCAATGACTCAGGTGCTGCAGACATCACAATACAGCTTAACAACAGTGATGCCCTTGGGCAAAACCCCCTGTTTTCATGCTGTAAATCCTCCTTCACGAAAAGAATTGTAAAATCACATAAGCTGTTAACGCTCCTAAAACTGTCGTTCATCTTTTTTTATTTTGAAATGATTGAATTAGTGTCATCTGAAGAGGTGTGCCAGGCTTCTGAAATGTGTGTTTTGATGTCTTCCAGACGTCTCAGGCCTCGGGCAGGCAGACACACTGCTGCAGAAGCGCTTTCATGACCTGGGCCAGAGCACAGACGCCTTTAGTTTGGTTCAGTATGTGGGCACACAGACCATCACTCCCCCCACAGACTACTCACAGCTACAGCACACGGTCCAGCAGCAAGTCAGCAACACATCCCAGAGAGCCCCGCGCCAGCCTGCCATTGTGTTTAGTGCACTGCAGGTATACGTGTGTTTTTGTAAGAGTGCCCTCAAAAACATTTTAGACACTTAAAGGGGGTAGTTCACTTTAAAAGGAAAATGTACTCATCATTTCCTCATCCTCAAGTGATTCCAAAGCTGTCTTTTTTTCCTCTGTTGAACCCAAAAGAAGATATTTAGAAAAATGTTGGAAAGCAATGACCATTGGCATCTATAGTATGAAAAGATATTGTTCATTCATTAATTTATGAATTTTTCATTCCCTTATTTATCAAGGGTTGCCACAGCGGAATGAACTGCCAACTAATCCAGCATATGTTTTTACGCAGTGGATAGCTTTGTTGGGAAACACACACACTCATACACTATGGCCAATTTAGTTCATCCAAATCATCTATAGTGCATGTTATTGACGAAAATGAAGAGCAAAGTGGGGGGGTTCGTAGCGGACGAAAGTGAAAACTGTGTGATGGTGGCGTGTCCAGTTGACGAAATGCGTGGGCCCTTAGAATCGTCCTAACTCAACACCCTCTCTCCCCAGTGGAAAACTCCACACAGAAATGCCAATTGGCCTGAACCAGCCACCTTCTTGCTTTGAGGTGACAGTGCTAACCACTGAGCCACCGTGATAATATATCAATGAAAGTTAAATGCTACTAGTAAGTAAGGGGTGGGGATTGATCTTAACTTCAAAAATATTAACCGGTACGAAACCAAAAAGGCCAATATATACTTCTGCGTCAAGAGCACATGGTAGGTTGGAGAAAGCTTTCGCATAGTCGCATCGCACCTCTCAAAAAATTTAACTACAATGCCGATTGCGTAAAAAGTCTGCTAGGGGCCAGTGACGTGAGGGTTTAACAAAATTCGACTCCAACTGAGAAGCTCTGGATGGATATTTTTGATTTTGTGTTAATCTTATGATTAAAGTTGTTAAACATTCACCAATTCCCACCTCATACTTTGTTGAATTTCCTGCACATTTTATCAGTAAAGCCAGTTCTAGTAAACCTCCTGTACATCCGTTTAGTCAGAGCAGAATCTGTCAACAATGACATCAAGATAATCGTTCTAAAACACTTAGGTCACATGACCAAAGTGATACAAAACACCCTGGTCATGTGACTAAAGCAATGCAAAGCATTGGTCATTTCAGAACCGTTTTGAGACCTGGCGAATCTGCATTTGCATGTTGCTTCATATGAAAATTTGTTTCAAATTCCCGCCCAACTTAACAAGGGGGCGAAGCTCCCGCTTTGTGTTTGGCAACAGGCAGACAGAGAGAAGCAGCATGAGTGAAGGGACATTCAACTGTACATGTACGACTGGGACACAGACCAAGCAAAGACTACAAAATCATTTGTGTCTTTGTATAGTTTTACAGCCAACTGTGTGCTAGTTTAAAGATCCCAGCTTGTACACTGAGACTAATAACCACGCACACTGAATTAACTTTGACCGAAGCACCGGATGCACCTCTCACAGCCTTGACTCGGCACGCCAGACACCATCATGTGGTGAATGAGAGCGATCATGTGGTAAATGTTAATCTTATGTTGAGCCCAATGAGCCTTACATCTAAAAATCCAGCAACGGTGTTCCTTAGGTGACATAGCTTTGACTCACACACTGAAAATGGCGGATGTGAAACAACAAACTGAGCATATGGTAATGCGCGCCTTTCAATCAATATTGGTGGGTGGGAGGGCCGCACTCCTACATCAAGTTGCGGTTGATCTAAAAACTTCTCTAATTGGTCCACCGTTTTTATGTTGTTAAATTTAAAAAAGGGACTTTGTGTGTTTATATCACCCCAATATGACAGTCCATACACTATACCTACACACATGTCTGTCCAAACAGCTTAAAAAGTAAAATTTTCACCATAGGCGCCCTTTAAGCAACTGCTATTTTCCCCAGGGGATTTCCTTGGGGTCTTCATGTTTATTTGGACAGGTTTTTTGTGGGTGTCCCAGTGAGAGAGCCCTCTGGCCTTCGGAGGAGATTTACTACAAATCACTTTGTGCTTCCTTGAGAAACTTTGCTCAACAATCGCAGCTTTGGTCCCGTTTGCGAGATCAGTTGGATAAATCGCAGAAGTGAAAATTGGGCTTAAGTAGGAGCATAATGTTGAGGACATTTTTATGCCTGTGAATGAAAACTATACAAATTACGATGTTTATTACTTAATAAAATTTCAGAGTCATTTTAATTAAAAGACAGGGTGAGGTCTTAAGAGAGAATTTTAGTTTTATTGTACTTAGAGGGCATCAGTGGCACAGTGGATAGCACAATTGCCTCACAGCAAGAAGGTTGTTGGTTCGAGCCCCGGCTGGGTCAATTGGCATTTCTGTGGAGTTTGCATGTTCCCCTCGTGTTGACGTGGGTTTTCTTAGGGTGCTCCAGTTTCCCCCACAAGTCCAAGGACATGCTCTATAGGTGAATTGGGTAAGCTAAATTGTCTGAAATGTATGTGTGTGAATGAGAGTGTATGGGTGTTTCCCAGTAATGGGTTGCAGCTGGAAGGGCATGCTCTGTGTAAAACATATGCTGGATAAGTTGGTGGTTCATTCCACTGTGCTGACTTCAAATTTAAAAAAGCGACTAAGCCGAAAGGAAAATAAATGAATGAATGTACTTCTTAGACTGAAAAAAGAAATATGTAATGTTTACATTTTATACATTTAGCAATTGCTTTTCATATAAATTGCAGTTAATAATATTATTAATAATACGTTATTTGGCTTAAAAGTGTTAAATATCAATCCTGGATTTTATCGTGACTAATCATGGGGGTTTGGAGAGCATAAATCACAAAATCTTAGTGTTAAACCTGTTCTGCTTATACATGTTAATGGTTAGAACAGTAAAAATAGTATTTGCTTTTAAAAGTAAAAAAAAAAAAAAAAAAAAAAAGAGTATTAATATTTGCGATACTGGCCCTGTATTTGTTTGCTATTGGATCAATACCAAATTTTTGCAGTTTCACCTAGCCCTACCTGAAGTGTCTAGAAATGTTTTTGGGGGTCTGTGTTTGCATGTATGTGTTGAGGGTGGTCCACAGAGCATGTCTGTGAGTGTCGCTTCACTGCTCTGCTCTCTCACGCAGGCCCTGAGCGACAGGTTCTGCGGAGAGATCTCAGATGACAAATTCAGCATATGCTCCTTCTTTCCTGATGAATATTTCACTTGCCCATCAGTCTGTCTCAGCTGCAAGTAAGTCCACAAAGGCTTCATGTTCCACGTCATAAATGGACTTTCCATTTTTTAAGGCGAGACACTGCAGGCAAAAGCAAACAGATTTTTGGGTTTGTATAAAGTGTTTTGTTCAGTCTAGTGTAAAAAAAAATAAGAAGAAAAACTTAAAAAACACTTTTAAAATAGGCCTGCACAATATTTTCAGGGTATGTCTTAAAAAGTCTTAAAATGTCTTAAATCTCAAAAGCTAAATTTTAGGCCTTAAAAAGTCTTAAATCTATTGAAATGTTATGTTGCAGGTCTTAAATGTTTTTTTTAACAGGTCCTAATTAGCCTTTTCTTCATTTATATTAACACCCATACAATCACCAACAATCCCAATTTCAATAAAACTTTTAGCTTTTTATATAAAAATTGCATTTAATTACTTTCCTTACAGTAACATTTGCTTCTCCATTTATTTATTGATGAGGAAACTGACCTGACCTATATTTTTTATTAAATGAATATTATTGTAGACTGAATTAATTGACAGCTATGTTTTGTTCTATTCTTGGTAAGGGTTATGGGATTTGTGAATAGATGTATTTGAAAATTACTATTAATAACTATTATTATTGTATTATTAAATGTAATAAATTGTAATCATTTTTTGAAAGGCAAGTAAAATCTTTTTTTACTGGGATATTTGAAAAAATCCTTAGCGTTTAGCTTTGAATAAGTCTAAAATTTCTTTCAAAATGCTCTTAAAAATTTGTTAAATAGGCTTGAATTTAACTAAGTAAGCATATACAATATACATATTGCTGATAGTGGTTGTTTGTTATTGGTTGTTTACCAATTAGATGGGGCAATACTATCTTTAACCTCACCTCCCCAGTTGTTTCTGTTCTATTATTGGCTGAAGTGGCCAAAGGATGAACCCTGAGCTGAAAATAAATATTTATCGTGGGAGTCGTGACGAGAGAGGAATATCATAGATATTTACATTACATGTCACCTACCCTGTGTTGTCTGTTGGAAGCAATGTGTTAATAGAGCCTCTATTTTAGAACAGGGTAGCGCTCCTTTGAAATGAATGTTGGACCAAGGTGTAGTGGAGGACTGGCCACCCGGAGCTATGGATACTTAAACATTTATACATATATCTATGATTGTGAGTTTTCCTGGTGGTCAGTATGCAAATATTTTACTAAATTCAGAAAATTATCATTTTAGATCAGTTTTATTGATGGTTGAGTGACCGCACGGTCATTGATCACAAAGAGTGTGTGTTTGTGTACATAGAAATATATTATCCTCTATTCTGCTTTCATTTCTAATTCTAACGGACGGCGCAATTCGTTTGTGAATGAATCTCCGTTTGCATATCTCAATGTGCATATCCACCTTTCTGATCTAAATGGTATATAAATCTGTATTATTCAATTATTTAGAGTGGACAGCACCGTTATGTTATCAGACACCTTTGTAAGTTACTTAAAAAACCAGCTGTTACTTCATTTAGCCGATAATAATAATAATAATAAATAATTTCTAGCAACACAGCATCTTGTTGTCGTATTTCTATCAGTTTAGTGCAAGTTGGTGCTACTTTGCCTCATGGTCAATGCAGTAAGTGACTATATTACTATCAATAACTTAACTTGTTTTGCACAACAGATCATAGCATACTGAATCGTAAAAAACTAAATCTTACCTATGAAATGTTCTGCCTTTGTGCTTAGTTTTCATTGTTTGCTCGTTATTGCATCCGTACGCAACACAAAAGCTGAGCATCTTCAGATTGGCTTTAGTCTTGACCAGTGGTGTAAAGTAACAAATTACAAATACTCAAATTACTGTTATTGAGTAGTTTTTCTCAGAAATTGTAATTTAATGAGTTTAAAAAGTGCCTACTTTTACTTTTAATTGAGTACATTTTTTGTGCAGTATTGGTTATCTAACGGCGCTGTTTTTAATTAACCTGCCTTCGCTACTTTATTTTCTTTTCTTTATTATTTCTCTATGGTGATGGGCTCAGTCCCGTGATTCCGACCAATCAAATCACGCATAAAAAAAAACACGCGCAGACTGACCTCAAGACACCTGCTAGCGCCACATTTGTAGATCAATCATGGAGTATGGAGAGACTGTTGTGGAAGGGTTACTATGCGTCAGCACAAATACAGGAATTC